TAAAATGTGTTTCTTCTTTTCATATGTTTTCTTCTCCTCTTTAGACCAAAAGATCAGATCCAATTTTGTCTCCTCTTCCTCCTCCTCCTCCTCCTTTTCCTTATTTGCTTGTTCACTGCCATAAACTTTAGGAAATAGAGGTTTGCCAGACGCCAGGAACACACTGCAGTGCTGGCTACTTGATTTTGGTGGATCACTCGGTACTATCACCGCTAATTCTTGTGTCCCAAAGCAGGTTATTCAGGATCTAGAGAGCCACAGCTCCCCTTCCGCGGCTTAGATAGACTAGTGGCTTCTAGCGCATCTGTAGGCAAGCGGCACAAGGCGCACGTGGCATGTTTTCCATGTGTAGATTTCAGGATGCTTTCCCAGATTCGTCTGTCCCTACATCATAGGATATAGTATAGGTTTAATAGCTCTTTAAATTATGAATTTAGAAAGAAAATGTAATACACACAAACATTTACAGGTTTGATATTCTGGCAAAAGAATTCCATTGCTCTGTGCGAACCACTTGCAGCAGAGAGCCGCCTGAGGCCCCAGAGACTTCCAGCCATCTGGGAGTTATTGGGATTCAGGTAGAAATCATGCCTTGCTCTGCTTTATCTTTGAGATTGAGTGATTGAGAAGAGATTTTATAGCTTATTTCTGCTAATCAGAAAAAAATAAAATATTTTCATTTTATATTAAGAATTCACTCTCCTACAAAATTTAAGTGTAATGAATTCACTATCATATTTTATCTCAGATTTAAGTATCGATTTTGTACAAGGACCATATTTCTTATACAAACCACAGTTTGTTGTGACCAACACTGTTGACATAGGAGCTCTCACTTGGGGCAAGTGCAGAGCCATGAGAGTGTGATCTATGGGCTGCTGGAGGCGGCTGGTGCTCCTAACTCTGGGATCCCAGAGCTGAGCTCTCCACCCCCAAATAGCAGAAGAACCAAGAGGCTGAAGTGGGTTCACAGCTCCCTACCAAGCAGAGCATCATGTAATCATGCTATTGTGTTACTTTTTGTACAGGAAAATTAAAATAGAAATGCTGCACTAAATTGCCAGTGTCATTTAGTAGAAAATATGCCAATTATGGTGTAGATCAAAGTGGAATTTTTAATAAAAGGCTTGTGTTTAGGCTTTGATAATTGGAATTTTGCACTTGGAATGGATCTATGGCTCTAATGTTTTCCTTGTTTGGTTTATATTTTTGGCATAATAGCTGGCACATGCTTTGAAAGTTGTGCAGTTGGAAATGACAGTAGGCAGTCTGAGAGATGACTCAAGCCTGGCACACCTACTAAGGCCATGTTTTACCTTCTATGATATACATACATTTTCCCTAGAGACATCATCGAGACAATCATTAGTGAGATGAGAGTATTACCGACTCTCTCAAATGGCATGGGCAGAAACCCAAATATTTTGGAGCAAGAAAAAAGCCTTTCAAGTATCACCTGCATGTACTATGTGTCATTTGCATACTTTTGGAACAGAACTGCAGTAATATTTTCCTTCTACTATATATATATCAATCGCTTTGTCCAAGTTATAAAATGCACATCAAAATGAGGTTAAGATTCTTCAAATACTACATGCAGGATAACACGATCAGGTTACTTTAGTCAATTACACCCTGTGGATATGCATCTCTACAAATCCAAAGCAGAATGTAGCAAATATTTATGTTATCCGATGGATTTAAAAATGTTCTCCTGGTATAACTATGTCTTTGAAATGTGGAAGGTTTGATCAATTTTGTTTTATGTCAGTCTACCCAATAACGGACTGAGTATTACCATCTGTTATTTACATACACAGTCTTAAGTCAAACACTAAAATTCTTGCTCGTTTACATGGTAATGGATGTTTCCAATCCAATGTGACATGAAGCTTGCAAAAGCAAGCGCTACAAAAGTCAACCTTTGGGTTGTAACTATGGGGTAAGGCCCCTTCACGTGAGCACAACGTTAGGGATCAATTTTATTAGTTTATCATACAGAGATTTTCTATTTTAGTAGGTTTATTGTTTAAAATACGCAATATATCCATACAACTTATGTTACATACCTTTGGCACAAGTTTAATGATAATGTGTCACAAATAGCAAGAAGGGTGGATTTATTATAAAATTTCACAGAAGTATGCTTGCCAGTAACATGGTAAAGCATACACTGGGATGACTGTCATCACAAAAACAATGTAACACTTGATTCATTGTATGTACCATGTGCGCGCTACATACGTGTGCACTGAAATGCATTCTTGAGTTTCAGAAGTAAGGGATCCTCAGAGGAGAGAACAAGGTTGAAAACAGGAAGCCTGGGAGAGAAGTAGGTACTAAACTGTACCTGTTTGTCCCAGCTTCTACCACATCCTCTCACCTTGGGGGATAGCTCTGAGAGTTGGATAGAGCTTAGATAACAAGGTAAGAAAAACCGACAAAAAGTTAAGGGGCTAACAGGAAAAAGTATATAGCTGGAAAACCAAAGGCTAAGTAGGTGATCAATAATTGATTTAAATAAGTGGTCAATATTTCTTAAAATCCCAAAAATGTACACACAGAAACTCAAATTTCTTTGGCATTAAGTGAAAGGAAAAGGTCCTGAATTTATGGTGCCATACTGTCTCAGTTGTATATCTTTTCTAAACAAATAAGAATTAAATTAGTTTCTGATGATCTCTCCAGGCAAATTTGAGGGACAAGCAAGCCTTTTTTAATTTAGGACAGGATGTACATGGTGTACAGGGTCTCACTGCGTAGATTGGACTCAGTGATCTTCTTGTTTACAGCCTCCCAAGTGCTGGGATTACAGGCACACACACAACGACGCACAGTCTCGATAGCTATTTCAATGTGTCCCAGGATGGGGCCAGCACAGCAGGCGAGGGGGTCACTGCCTTAAGGGTGGGTCTGGTAAGGAATGTGGAGCTGGGGATCAAACCACAGTCTCCTGTGCCTAACTGCGTTTGCATGAGCAGGCCCTTAAACAACTGAGCTAACCTGCCAGGCCCCCAGGCAAGCCTTTCTTAAAGGGGATAAATTCATTCAGGTTTACAAAGATTCCCAAAAGAAAAGTTTCAAAGATGCTGAGAATTTCATGTTGTATCAACACAATAATTATTGAGAAACATTGTCAGAAATTACAGCCATCAAATACCCAGGCAGAACCTTTGAATTCCACACATGTATTTTGCAGACCTGGGTTTTGCCCATGTTCAAACCCTAGCTCAATGACTTAAATATATAAAAATAATCTTGGAAACATGAGTGAGGGACAAAAGGTTTGTTTTTGTAAGACAAAGAAGCATTGAAAAACAACCAAAGGTAACTTCTAGATATGAAAAAATACAGTCCCTTAGATTGAAAAGAAAAGAGACAAAGAAATGAAAAAGAAATGCAGGAGAGAGACTTTTGGCCCAGTATTAATGTAACTGGACTGCGGAACAAAAGATACAAATGAATAGCATTTCTTGACGCAATAATGGGAGTTCAGGAGAAAGTGATACAACCTATTATGAGAGAAATTAACTATGAAACAAGAACTACAAGACTGGCAAAAATATATAACAAATGAGCATTAAATGAAGACGTTTTAGTTCAGAAGACAGCAAGGTAGAAGAAAATGGAAGCCACACGCCTGAAATTTCTGGAATGATAGCAACAGAAGTAAAGAAGCAACTTCAAGAGGCTAAAGCAGAAATCAGATCAGAATTATCTGTCAGGCTAAAGAAACACACCAGATGGCAACCACAACGAAGGGCTTGCTCAGCAAATCTAGAGTAGACATAGATTTAAAAAATAGAGGAGTGCCCTTTTCCAGCCGGAGCCCAGGCCCGGCATGTGTGTGGGACTCTCTGTGTGCTTGCCAGATCCCTTTCCAGCCAGAGCTCAGGCCTGGCATGCTGCAGCAAAAAGAAGCTGAGCACAGCAGCCAGACCCAAGCCAGGCACATCTAGAGGAGTTTGAACTTGGTAGATCTGGACGCAGTAAGCTGAGACACTTTACTAGACCCTGATCTATGACACTATCCTCTCTCTCTTTGTCTTGATCAAGAGAGGGTGCAACAGGTAAGTGGGGTGAACTAGTCTGTCTGGAAGACCTTATGTATAAGGGTCTTCATAAGGTCTGGCAAAGGAGCATAGGACAATGACGGCAATCGTGGTTCACAAAAGCACACAGCAGGATTAGTGGTGACCTTTGCCACATGACACAGCGGCTCCTGAAGCTGCAGAGGAGTCTCATTCCTGAAGCTGAGTGACTAAGAGAAAATGTGATTTAAGGATTCAAACCCTGTGGAAAAATTGTAACAAGAGCAACAAGTTAGGATCAATGCTAGCCTCAGTTTCTGGTCACCTCTGATAGAAAGAAGAGAAGCATGCAGTGCCGTGTATGTTCGCTAGATTGATGTAGTTATTCCACAAGTTCTAGTAAAGTCCTATTTCTTGAGAGAGAGCAAGTGTCTGAGGTTTTATATTTCTATTGTCCACTGTTCTTTTGGCATATCATCTCATGGATATTATTAGAATTTTTGAAAAATAAATTTCACTATAATTAATTTAAGAATAGATTCTTGTGCTCTCTTTGGTCTGACTCTAGGTAGATTTTATCGACATTTTCGTAAGGAAAGTTCAAAGGGGGAAGCCATACCAAGTGCTCATTAAGGCGACACAACTGAAGGATTTGGATAGACTGAGAAAATATGCAAAATCTACTGTTCTCCTTTATTCCTGCACATTTTAATCCCACTTCCTTTTCCAACACACTTAGACACCTGCAATGTGAGAAGTGAGGAATTTCACTTGGTAGTCTTTTACCACGAGGCTTCCCGTGCTGCTCTGTACCTCGGCTCTGGGGCAAGGGGGAAGAACTTCATCCCATGCCTCAGAAAGGCTTCTGCCAAAGGCTCCATGGACCAAACAGTCAGAGTACTGTGAGGATGCGGAGGCGCTGAGTTGCAAAACTGCCCCTCCCAGTTCTTCCCAGGTGCAGGCATACAGAGTAAATATGACAGCTGCAGATCAGCACAGAAATGGCTACAGACGTCTTGGCGGTTGGTAAGGAAGCACGGGATGTGCATCTACTAGATAACTGTCAGTCAGAAAAGCATATGATAAATAACTGGGATTCATTTAAATGCACAAATACACAAATGT